TCTCCCTTCCCCTAGTCTACACCTAGTCTTGGTGGCTCCCCGAAAACGTCCGGAGCTCACGGAGGTACTTGCACAGCCCCCGTTAGCGAGGGGTGAGAGACTGACAGTCGTTACTGATGAACGCTCCCAACCACCACTCTGATGTGGCCAGTCTCTTTTCTCCTGTCCAGAAATAGGGGACCGGACAGAGAAGTACATCCTCCAAAGCACAAGCTGACTTTGAAGGCAAGAGATCAGGGGATAATTCTGAAGGACTTTCTGGCACCTTGACAAATCTGTCTCTCTCTCTCTCTCTCGTCTACAGCTGCACAGAAAGCACAGAGAAAAGCAAGGACCAGAACTGGGGCCACCAGGAACCAACTCGCAGTCCTTGTTGCTGGACCATCTGTCTCCATCTCAGCTGCGTGTCTAGTAAGAGGTCAGCAGCAGCAGCGGCGGCGTCACTCCCAACTCTGCGGCTTGCAGCTCGGTCCTGGTCACAGGCTGCTGGGCTGCTCTCAGCTGGCCCAAGCACGAACACCAATGAGCTGAGGTAAGCAGGGAGTTTTAGATGCTTTTCTAGCATTGAACAATAATAGTCTCCAGAGAGAACCACTACTTTGGTGGCATTTTTTGGTACTTAAAAGATTTAAGCTATCAAGACTTCAACTTAAAAGGAAAAAAAAAAGTTTGTGTAGTAAAAGCAGACAGAACATATGCAAGGATCGATGTGGAAAAGAGAGGAAAAATGGTGTTTGAGGCTGCTTTTAACTGCCAATTAGCAGTGAGCACTATATTTTAAGTTGGTGATTCAAAAAACAAGGAGAGAAAAGGGCAGAACCTGAGATGAAGACTTGCGTAGCTGTCAGAGTTCAAGAGTTTCACAAAAAGCAGGTAGCCTCTGATTACAGGATGATTTCTGCTTTTCTCCCTTTTTAGTAAGTTTTTAGGAGTTTTTAGTTGCAGAAAAACATAAGAAAAAACAAATGGTAATAGCTTGAGCCCTACAGTTAATAGTTTGAGCCCTACAGTATAACCTGAAACTTCTGATGACTATTTTAGATTTATTTTTAGGTAATATTTGTGATTGTGGTGACACTCGTGATTTACCGGGACTGCAGTGCAAAAACACTAAATCTACTTTGTGCTTTGCGCAAATCACTTACTCACTCTATGATTCATGGCATCCAGTGCTAATAAGAAGAGTCTATTATGCTAAACTTATCACACATGCAAGCTTTGTTTTGCCAATCAGGACCGTGCCAGGAAAGTGCAAATACCCAAAGATTATAGGCAATGGTAGCGGGTGTAGCAATAAGGATGATCTTGATAATTATGTGCCTTCAAGAGGGAAGAGAAACTTGTTTTGACTTGCAAATGGAATAAAGCTGTCATAGCCGTGATAGGAGTCACCCAGACTGGCAAGAACTAGTTCTTTTCAGGTCTCTCTAATAAACTGGTACCGGGGGAGCGTGGTGGAAGACTCTAGGAGAAATTCTGCTGAGAACGCACTCCCTTTGCCCTCCAAATTTTCAGATTTCCTGACCTGTTCTGCTTTTGAGCTAGCGTCATTCTAGGTCCAAACCACGCTTCCTCGTCTGCCACGCTCACACGGGCCCTCAGCAAAGTCAGACCAATGATTCTGCAAATAGCAGGCACAGCTCTAAATGTGTGTTGAATTGGGGTGTTAATCGGCATCCTCAGTGCTGCTTGCACCTGCATAACCCAGGGTCATCCCCAAAAATCCCCTTTACAGTAACATTCACATCACATGTTGGAAACAGGTTGTGATTAGGCCAAAGATATTTCATGGAAGATTCCTTCCTTCCAGCTGTTCTCTAGAAAGTAGCACAAGGATACAGGTGGGCATGATGATGGCTGTCCCCCGATTAAGCTAGGTTATTCTAATGCTCTCCGATTCAGACAACGATATTTTCCGAAGGGTTAAATGCAAGCAGAAAGAATGGACATTTCTCTTTTTACCTCATCACAGAACCTGAAGCACATCCACCGAACTGAACCTCCTAGAGAAATCCTGCAGGAAAGCGCTCTCCCACCACACTTCCAATGGCAGTGAAAAAGTGGAAACAGCAAAAACTTCTAGTTCAAGTTCACTTCTACGGATAGAAAACTATTTAGGAATAATTTTATACCTTCCTTTTTAAATTCCAGGATAAAGTAAGCAACAGCTGTGCTACCCCTAAATTACTCTTGGAATCTAACTAGGCAAGAAAGTCCATCTTTGGGGCCATGGCTTTATAACAATACATTGATGCAATGAAGAGCAAAAAATCAAAAAATATCTGTCATCTCAAAGCAAGGTCTGAGGCAGTGCCATTTTAATTGCATCAGCCTCGAAGAACAGGTTAGGTTAAAAAAAAAAAAAAAAAGAGCCCTGAAAGCCGGGGGGGGCAGTTAATAATAAGCAGTCAGGCTAGTATCTGCAGGATATAGAGCAACATTCAGCATGGAAAGAGAAGTAGGGGAACCTGTAAATGTTGCATTGAGCAGTGGTACACTCGGTTCTGGAGCTGACCCTGCACAGTTGAAGGTGCCCGTGTTTACAGCCACGTCTCTAACTCGCAACAAGTATAATGATCACATAGTATCATTATTGCACCCAGCTGTAATGAGCACAGCACATTGCTCTGAGCAGGGATAGTTTAAGCTGAGCCGGTGTTTGTTTCAGAATGTTCTTCCTCAGCCCGTGTCCCATACCTGAAGGGTTTGTTTCAGAATGTTCTTCCTCAGCCCTTTCCTGGTCTAATTTCTTAACATGTGGGTTACACAATTATTCAGCTGCAAACCAGTTTTTTTCATTTCAGCTTGCACAACCTTCCTGTTCTCTTTAAAACAGTACAAGGTAGTGGTGTGTGTTTTTAAACTTTGATTGAGAAAAATAAGAGGATGACGGAAAAATCCAAGGAGCAGTTATAAAACTGAGAGGCCTACATTACCGTACATCAAAGGGAAGCAGCGTTTGCTAACTCCTTAGTTTTACATGTGTATGATCCACAAACTGCTTCATGAAAATGGAAAAAATGGTTTAGGAATTGCTCAGGTCCCGACAAAAAAGAAACTAATAGTAACAACCTAATTCCCATGAAAACAGGCTGGTCTCCAAAGCATCTGCCAGGACCAGACAACATTGTGCTCACAGCTTTCCTTTGTTGGCTCTTCAAAGCAGGTAGAGCCAGAAATGCTCCTGTGCCTCGTGGCAAGCTTTAAGATGTGGTACGAGACTGTCAGATGAGGGAATTTTACATCTCTCCCAGAATATTTCACACCGTGACAGCAAAAAGAGCAGCACAGACTTAGCTGAGACGAGGAGATGAACGGAAAGGCAGAAAATGGATTCTCCAGCATTATTCCAGCTTGGGGAACTGAGAGGACTATTAAAAGCAACATGAAAGACGTTACAATTTCATTGCAAATCAGCCAGACTTGCTGAAGTATAGTTCACAAGAAGGAAGGAGTCGCCCCACCTGACGTCCAGGCCCTTAACCAAGGCGCCTGGGCCGGGAGCGCCCTGCCCTCCGCTCCCGCGCGGCCGACGGAGAGAGACGGGCTCTTCCCAAGGAGGGAGCCGCACCTCGGGAAGAGCGACTCCCGGTCCCCGAGGGCCCGGCGTGACTCAGCCTCTAGCACAAGCACACCGCGCAGGAGAAACCCAGGGCAAACGCACTCGGAGACGCAGCGCTGAGGAGCGGCGCAGCCCTCCCCGTCGCCGCAGGCGGCCGTGCAAGCAAAGCCAAGGTGAACAGCAAGCGGGCGCTTCTGGCGGGCTGCGGGGTCGTGCATAACCCGCTGCCCGGCCCGCGCTAGCGGCCC